GTTCAAGTGATTTGTGTTTCTTTCAACTCAGTATAATAAGGGATTTACTCTAGAGATACTGATTAATATTTACAGAAGTGAGAGCTCTTATCTAAAATGTGAAGTAGAGGACTTTTAAAGTTACTACCTTTTTAAGTATTAAAATTACCACATAAGATGCCTTTTGACTGATAATTTGTCTGTCTCAAGTCTCAGTGTGAATGCATCTTTTCTCCGCTCGGTCCATCATTTTACCCATTGCAATTCATGGCCTTCACTGTGTTGCGTAAGATCATTCAGAAGTGCCCTTCTGTGCGTGAAGATTGTATTACAGAATTTTATTGACTTCGGCATCCCTTTAGTCTTGGTCAGATATGCTGCTGCCAAATTGAAAGCATTATTTTGATTTAATTCCACAATTCAAAAGTGTCAGCTGAAGCGGTATGTTGTATGATAGCACATTCCTAGCAGCTCATTACTGCCTCTTCCGAACAGGAGTTTTAACTCTCAGAACGTGCTGAATTAGAGTGCTGGTACAAAATGAGCCTTTGCAAGACACTGTTGATCTGAAATTGGATGACGGCGTGGTTTTGGTATGTCATGTAGCCGTAGGTCTAACCTGTTTAATGTGCTGAATTTTAATCAAGAGAAAACAATGCCAGGCAGGTTTCAATTTCTGCGTGGTATCCTCTTACTTCTATAGGACACAAACAATTTCAAAAATTAACACGGTGTTCGCCTGTGCGTATATTCTTAATTAAACCTCACAAAGCACAAAAGTTTAACGCTAGTCAGACAATTACTCAGTTATGATTTGATTTTTGTAGGATGTCTAAGTTGAGACTTTTTGTAACCACTTGTCATTTTTAAGAATACGGATCTGACAATGTTGGAGAAGACTTGTAAAAAAAGAAAAAAAATGTATAGGAAAACGTAGAAAACCAGTTAATGCATGAATACTGTAGACTCTAGAGATTCCTTCCTTCCCTTACACATCATGTTTGAAGAGGTTTGTTAATTTACATGCTGAATTAAGTGTGAAAACTTTAATTCTGTACTGTATGTAACTGTTCTCAACAACTCCCCGAGGGAAGCCAATGCAGAGTAAGTAGCTGTTGTATATCAATAGCTTTGCTCAGAACTGTAAAAGGCAGATTGGTATTAGCTTCGGGTTCCTTCAAACTAATAAAGAAACATTAAGAACACTCGTGACATTGCACAGGTGTTTATTTTCCTGCTTCAGCGTATTTCACACGTCCTGTAAAAGCTCTTCAAAAATATGCATTTAACTGGTAATCTAAACATACCTTATCTATGTATCCTGTGGCTCATCAGCTACTGTTATGTGGATAAAATCCATGATGTTAATGGAATGAAGAAGGTCAAAGAGTTATTATGACTGCTAGAGAAATGCTTCAGCCCTCTCTTCTTTACTCTTTTAACCTATATTTTTGAAGAGTTCTGTTGAAAAGCTTTCCCTCATAGAATAACTTTCTTCTGTTTTAGGGAAGAAAGCACACCCATACAGCCCCTGGGAGAAAGTGGTAAAAAGAGTTTCATCTCTTTTTCTTTTCTGAGACTATTAAAGTTTTCCTTAATGCTTCTGATTTCTATGGATTTAGTAGCATTGGCACATTGCGTAGGCAGACATGCTTAGGCTTAGGCTTAGTCCAGGAGATCCATCAGGTTATTTCCTTTTTTCCCTCTCTTCTTAAAAAGTCACAATCCAATTCGCCTTGCTATGACGATCGGCCTTCGGCAACAACAACAAAAATGTAGCAAGCGAATGAATGTGAAACTAGTGCGAAAATATGAAGTACTGTAGACGCACATAATTCAGACTGTGTTAAGGTTGTTTCATTGGAAGATTCAGTTTATTAAAATCTACATACTTACTAGAAAAGGCCGGATTTATAGAAAAGATAAGAACTGGAACGTTTCTTCAAATTAATTTTATTTCCTTCTGCCACCATATTTTTAACCATTAAAAAGCACCACACAGATTTCACTAGTGGATTTGCATGTGCAATTATGCTGTGAGTAAGAGGTGTTTTTCTCTTTTAATGTCATATTTGAATTTTGTACCTTTATATATCTGAGCATGTCCAGAAGTCTCAGTTGCCATCCACGTTACTCTTTCCTTGAAGCACTTCCATCTGAAAAATTAGTTTTCAATTACTTTAATAATCAGATTCCAAAATATCATTAGTGTAACTGAGGGAACAGGTAATTATGCATATATGTCTGATTACTATTGGGTCTAGTTTCTTCGGTGTGCTCAGATAGTTTAAAAAAATCATACATTTCTTCTGTATCTGTCTCCTCGTTCAACAATAGTGTTGATTCCATCCCTTTAACTAAAAGGCCGCCAAACGTTTTTTCAGTTGCCTTTGCACCCTGTGACCCACAAAGCAATGTATTTTTTTAAAAATCAGTTCAGCAACATCTGTTACCGAAGAAGGGAGGATGTTCTTTACGATCCGTTACTTTTCTGGACATCGTGTTTATGTATTTGGTGGGCATCCATTTTTATCTCAGTTTTTCTTCTCATCTGCTCTTAACACCACCATCCTCTCCCTACCTGTTGAGTACAAATTAAAACATGGGCAGTAATTTGTTTTAAAGTTACATAAATGTTTAGCAGCCATCAGGTTTTAGACTGTATTGAGTTCATTCATGTTTACATATGGTCCAATTCCAAAATACCTGAAAGTGATTTTCAGGAGAAAGCCGAAGTAGGAAGAATAATTCCTGCAACTTGGTTAACTGAATATCATTTAGGATTTCATGTTACAAACTATAGCTATGGCCTGAATATCCGGTAGATTCTGCTTAAAAAACAGAATTTAAATAATCTAAAAGCTCTGTAATTAAAATACTTTCTCAATTCAGTTAGCTGCCGCATTCTTGTATTTATAGTTGAACAAAGTAGAAAATAGTGTCCGTTTTTTTTAATTGCTTCCTATTAGTGTTATATTGCCTGACCATATTATGTTAATCCTCACGGTTTTATTAATGAATTTCTGTAAGGTAAAATTCCAGCATTTCCTCCAAAAATACAAGATTAACTATATGCGATATTCAGCGGCAGAACAGTTTCTGAGCTGTGAAAGGGTCAAATCATCACAGTTCATACACAGTAAAATGCTTAACTTGGAGATGTGCTTATGTCATGAGTCATCACTATTGCCCTGTGCTGAGAATAACATTTATTTCAATAAAAATATTGGAGCTTTAAATTTTAATATTTCCTTATACTGAAGAAGATAAAGGCCAAATCAGCCTCTCTGCCTATGTTTGCATTTTGATTTTCTCAGATAAAACAGCAGTGAAAACCCCTACTGTAATCAAACTTGTTACGCATGCAGACTGTAATTGATTCTAGCTACCTAGAAAACTTTAATTTTCAGTTTCGGTTAAAAATGAGAATCTCAAAAGAAAAACATTACAGGGTAGCATAGCAAGAGAGGGAGGGATCATTGCCCTTTTGTAAAGCCATCACATTTGGGAATGTTTTTCCCTTCTTTTATTTTTTTAAATGTTTTCCGAAAACTCTGATGGTCTACATTTGAAGATCTGAGATGAATGCAATATCTGAGTGCACTGTGAAAGGTATCTTGAATTCTTTTTCTCCTTAGCTCGGAGGGAGAAATTTACACCCATAAGTTGACGTAGGCGTGTGTTACCGCAGTTCAGTCTTCCAGAAGTTAGTTAGCTCTGGCTGTATTCCCCAGAGAGCACAAGACAACTGAAGAGGATGGGTCAACCCCTTCCTGTGCTTATTTCGGGGGTCCCCGTTTGAAACCTCGTAGGCGAGAGAAGCAGAGCGTCAGGTACTTTACCCATCCTCTCAACGAAACGAAAATAAAGTGGAGGGGAAATAAAAGCTTTGAGCCTAATTTCATACACCTTTCACAATTATTCATTTAACGCCATATGCCTTCCTCTGGGAAGTCAGCCACATACGGCTATCTCAGTGCCTGAACCCATAGAGTTTGTACCGCTCGGGAATGGCTGCTGCGTTTGCCAGGGATATTCGGAGCAGTGAGGAGCACCGCAACAACACGTGGCCAGCTAGAAAAGATTGATCACAAGCCACAAACTATACTGTGGCATTATTTTGTGGTGTTAAAAGGATAATTCTTTGTTAAGAAAGAGCAATAGTCTGCACACGGGAAAAATTACAAGAGGGGAAAGATAACCAAAATAGAGAAGGGAGTGCCAACATACTGAAGAAAGGCGGTAATTTATTTTGCAGAAAACATGGAGAACACCCAATATTTTTTAGACGGGGAAAAGGAGACATCAGTTCTGGGTGAGGCTCCGTAAGCCCCTTGAAGGTTGTCAGCTGTAGTTCAGATCCTTATTTGTGCTCTGTCACGCGGGACTGGCTGACACTACCTTCCTTTCTGTCCATAAACTGGTGCCTGGTTCTTTGTACCTTCACAGGAACACGTGTATCCACAGCTGAACTTTTCACTGTTGCCAGAGGTTGTTTTGGAACACAAAGGCGGTTCCAAATCTGCAGAAACTTAGTCTCAATTAGTTAAATACTTTGCTGTCATGCCTTGTTCCCGCTGCTGCTGCGCGGAGCAATGAATTACTGACAAACTACTGGAGTCTGCAGTACAGCAATTTATTTGTAATGCTAAGAGAGAAAAAGGTTTGGATACCATTCAAAGGCTGACCTTTAGTTTGTTTCAGGAGTGGCATGAAAGATTTCCCCTTTTTTTCCGTAGCAGAAAGAGACAAAAATGACTTGTAGTATTGTGATCTAGCAGTCTCTCTTAGACCTGCATGATTGGGCCTCTGATAATGGTAAGAAAACCTTGTTTCTAATCATGATGCAAAATTTCATTACATTAAATCATCACTACGCACGTTCCAAAATCCGTTGGTCCTACTGTCAGTAAAGCT